TCATAAATATTGGTGCTATTCACAATCTTATACAAGTTTTCAGGAGCACACCTGCAAGAGTGTCTCTATGATAAATACTGAATATTGTATCACTGAGTTGAGTATCTGAGTGTTTCATCTTCATCTATATTTTGTCCAGACATTTTCAAAGTAATAGATCAACTGTTCATGAACATTTGGTTGTTCTGTATCTAACTGATAGGTAATATTGTCAGACTCCTTTGTTCTTGCCAAGTTGCCAGAGTGAAAATATAAATCATTGTGGTTTTAATTTGTATTTCATGATTACTAATGAGGCTGAACACATATTTTTACTTACTGGCCACTCGTGTTTCCATTAGATTGTTTTCTTTGTTTTACTTTATAGGAGTTCTTTATACATTCTGAATGTCAATCTGTTGTCAACAGTGTGGCAAGAGCAAATATCTTTTTCCAGTATATGTTCCAAATATGACTTGTCTTTTCAAGTTCCAAGTGTGACTTGTCTTTTCAATCTCTCTAGAGAAGAAAGATGTGTAGGTAGTAGTTATATTCCTATGTTCAATATAGTAAGATGTATTCGCTTTCTTTTATACTTTGAACATCTTGCTTAAAAAATCCTTTCCTCCACCTGTTAACTAATCAAATAATGTTGAAGATCATAAAAGCCTGCTGTGTTCTAATTCCTCCATTTTCTTTTTACATATTTCATTGATTTGTTTGACTAGCACAAATACATCCCATATTGAGAATAGGATGTTCCTTCTGCATGCTTATAACATGAATATGTTACAAATTATCAGGGTTCTCAGGGGAAATTGGTTCTACTTTCTAACTATTATCAGAAAAGATTGCTTAAAATCATTTACTTAAAATTAACCCAAATAATTTTGGCTTTCTTTAAAAAAAGAAAAAGAAAAAAGAAATCCTTTCCTACCCTGAGGCCGTGAAGATAATTTTCAGCATTTTCTTCTAACAGTTTGTAAGTTTGTCTTTTACACCAAATCTTTTATCTTTCTGAAATTGATTGTTGTGCATGGTATGAGGTAGAGTTTTATTTTGTGTGTATATATATATATATACACACACACATACATACATACATACACACTCAAGAAAAAATTCCTTTTCTTCGCTTTTACCTGAAATTATAGTTCTGTCATATACTACCTATGCTTTTACTTAAAATAGTATCATCTAAATAAGGCACTTGAAGAGTTCATATTTATTGTGGATTGTATCTTTCAGGCCTCTTTCAAATCAATACTATTGGAATATATTTCACGTTGTACTATATATAATCTTTGTCCTTTTCACTTGACATATGTTCTTAACATTTTCCCACCTTTCTACCCAGTCTTTCTGAACATTAATTTAATGAAGCCATAAGAGTCTTCTATGGAATGAACGTGACTCCTGCCAAATTTATATATTAAAGCCTTAACTCCCATTGTGGCTGTATTTGGAGATGGGGCCTCTAAAGAAGTAATTAACGTTAAATGAGGTTATAAGGGAGGTCTCTGATCTTTATCAGTTTACTGTTTTCAAAATAGGCAAAAGAGAGCTTGTGTGCTGTCTGTCTCTCTCTTTCTGTTATGCCACATGAGAACACAGTGAGAACAAAACCCATCACATACAGGGTAGAGAGCTCTCATCAGGACCCAAACTGGCTGGCACCTTGGTCATGGACTTCCCAGCCTGCAGAGCGGTGGGAAACTAATTTCTGTTGTGTAAGCTTCCCAGCCTGTGGTATTTTGTAAAGACAACCCAAACAGACTAATCCAGACTTTCAGGATTCTTTTAAGTGTTATTAAGTCCTTGGTACAACAGATAAAGCTACATTGTGCCACAGTAAGTATACATTAAGATCTTTGTGTTACTTTACATGATAAAGTTCCAGGAACAGATTTAGTAAGTCAAAGGACCAAGAGTATTTATAGCTTTTTAAAACATTTTGCCATATTGTTTTCCCAAATGATTATATCATTATAAATATGTCAGCAGTACTAGGGCATGTCAATTGTACATTAAATTCAGAGACTTGGTTATAACTGTTTTAATGTGATAATGAGATTAATATAATGGTACCTATTGCTTTGATTTTTAATTTACCACTCATATTCTTAATGTTCAGTTGCTCCTTAACTCCACAGAGGCTGATTCTGTGGCTCTAAGCAAAAAATCTCTTTTGATTCACAGAGCTAATTCTGTATATATACATTTTGTTCAGTCATAGGACATCTTTACAATGCTTACAAACAAATAATATACTATTATATATACAAAAATAAATTCAAGGATACAAGTTTATCCAGTAACTTAAATGTCATTAGCTCAGGGGAAAAAAGGGAGGTGGGGGAGGCAGGAAAGGAAAAGGCTGTATTTTAAGGCACATATACACATGAAAAAATACTGATAACTGGAATATAAAAAAATACTTAAAACCATATATATAAAACACATAAATACATACATATAAAGTAGACATTTAACTAAAAATCTATATCAACCAGTGGCTTTAATGTATTATTTTAGAAGAGAGGCTAGCACCGAATACCTTACCTACAATCACAAAATAACTAAAACTAAAAGCTAGTTGGTTACTTTAATAGACATTTGGTCTCTTTTCATTATTTAAGAAAAGAGACATTTTCTGAAATATGGCTTTTAAGCTTTCAATTTGTAGATTTCAGAATCAGGCCAGCGTGAATTGCTGAGAGCCAGTTACTACAAAGCAGTAGTATTCGCATTTCTTTAATATTTCCACTAACCTTATTTCTCATGTGAGCAAATTTGCTCAGAATTGGAGGCCATGATCGGACTGGCTGTCAGAGTGTCCCTGTGTCTCTCGCTAATTTCAAGCTCTATTGAACAGTGCTGCTGCAGCAGGACCAGTGTGCAACATTAGTAGCAGCCCTGGCATGACTTGGGGATAATCTTCAAGAAATTTGTGGATGTTGCTAATTAAAGGGAAAAACGTTAGCAGGGTTTTTTTTTCCTTTTGTTTGTTTTGCTTTTGTTTAATAAACTAGTTTGCTGTGTGGTACAGCTCATTGCTACAAATAATATCAATGACCAGTGGGTATTATAAATGCAGGTGGAATGTTATTCCATAAATAGAAAGAATAAACTAACAGAAATCATGCACCACTAAACTTGTCTAAGAGACAACAAATGTATTTTTCAAGCTGTTTTCAGTCTTCCCTAGAGGTCTCTCTTTCATGGACCCACTATTCCACTAAAGAAAGGCAATCTAGGTGGAATCTTCCACTTCTTTACCTGAAATCTTCCTTGTTTCCCATAAGCATCTAGTCTATGACCCCAGCTCCACTGAAATAGTCTTTGTGAGTTTACCAGTGAACTCCTAGGGATTCAATTCGAATGAGAACATTTCAATCCCTTTTTTTTTCTTTAACTTTTTTTTTCAAAATGTGTATTTCTTAACTGTTACTTCTGAAATATATATATATATACTTAGCCTATTATCCTATTTTTGATAATTTTCTTTTAACTGTGGCTTTTACTTTTTTAGACTCTGTGAGTTTTTCTTCCTCCATCCACTCAGTAAATTCAGATTTTCCTAGGTTTCTTCCTTGTAGCTTTTCTCTTCTTGGCCTTTGTTTTATCCCCCTATTAATCTCAGTCCTTTTTAATGACTTTAACTACCACCTGGATGCTTATAACTAAGACATGTATACTTCTCCTGTACTGCTCTCCGAAGACACTAAGCTATATTTTTACTTGCTGTTTAACTTCCACACCTCTATCAGTATTTATACTAACAGACATCTCAAACTCAGTAAGTTTTAGAAATCTGTTTGGCAATATATTTTAAACCTGAACAAAGGTATGTTCTCTGATCCAGAATTCCACAACCTCATGTAGACTCCACGGAAATAGATGCAAATGGACACCATAAGACATCAATAGGAATGTTAATAGTATCATTCTTTATAATAGCCCCACTGAAAAACCCTAACGATAGTAAAATAGGTACATTAATTTGAATAAATTATAAAATGGAATACTGTATAGCATTGCAAACCAATAAAATGTTAGAAGTCCGGGTACTGTTTCTCTTTGAGGAGGAATATGGGTAGCCGGGAGAAGTTACAAGTGGCTTTCTGCGGGAATGACAGTGTTCAGTGTTCTCTGTATTGATCTGGATTCTGGCTACAGATATGGCCCCATGGTGAAAATTGATCAAGCTGTATGATTATAAATTGTGCACTCTTCTATGTATCATTTATACTTCACAAAATATTTCATAACATCACTTTACAAATGATAAAGTTCTCCCTCACATTATCACAAGGATAACTTTTAAAATATATCTAATCCTGATGCTGTCTTGCATAAAATCCTTCAGTGTTTTCCAATTGCCTTCAGATTGAAAAGTCAAATACCTGAGCATGGAATAAAAGATGGTTTATGATTTAGCTTCTGCCTAGATCTAGCCTCATATTTAACCATGTTTTGGCTGTACCAAACCACTTTTTCTTACGTCCTTTCATTTTTTTAAATTTTTCTCAAAATTATTTTTACAGATTCATTTTTAATGTTTATGTGTAAAAACTCAAACATTACTTGATTCATGAGGCAGTGAGCCATCTTCTCCTTTACATTTCTACACTATTCTCTGTGTACCTCTTCTGTAGCATCTACTTAATAATTATTATTCCTTTTATAATAGGAATGATAAAAAATGCGTAGGGCAGGGCAATGGAGAGGAAAGTCTTAAACCAAGGAGTATACATTAAAAATTTAAAAATATACTATTTTGCAAGATTTTGCAGACTACATTATGTATGACCTATTTTAAAATTGAAAAAAAATAAGAGTTCTCAAGAAATTAGTATAGGTATTAATTTAAGGTTTCTAAAACTGAATGAAATGGCTAAATTTGCAACTCAACTAAAATGATTATTTAGCTTCTGATAATTATCAGTATTCGTACAGTAGCCTCTAGTCCTCTTTATTGAGACAAACCTCTTTGTTTTCTAACCTACTGACTTTTTTGTTTACAGTTTTATGTGTTTCCAGAACTTTGCCTCAGAATATGGATGGCTGTTGTATAATAAAGTAAGTGGCTGATCTTTATATCTGGTTCTTGGGAGGGAACCTCTAAACCCTTGGATATCCTGGTGATAGGGATGTCTTTGTTCAGGTGGGACTCTAGGGCCACATTGAGTTTATGCTAATGAGGTCACTTATGATTGGCTCTTAGATTACTTAGTTAATAAGATGACTCATGATGGGGGCACACTACCACAGAAAGACCAAATTGAGTAAAGGATTGGGGCTTTGAGCCATGGGATACCAGTCTGTCCTCTGGTGGGGGTGGGGGTGGGGTACTGGAGCTTAAATTCAACCACTTTGATCAAAGATTCAATAAGTCATGACCACATAGTAAAATCCCAATAAAACCTCTGGTCACCATAGTTCAGATATGCTTATTTGTTGGTGATACACAAAAAAGTGAGAATAATGTGTTCTGAGGACATGGAAGCTTCTCCTTTGATACCCTCTTTGAGTTTTACCTTTGGGTCTCTTCTTTTGAATGACTGTTATTTGCATTCCTTCTAATCTGTAGTTGTTAAGTATAGTTCTTTCCTGAGTTCTCTGAGTCAGTCTCGCAAATTTTTGGACCTGAGGGGTTAGTGGGAAATTCCAGGTTTGTAACCTGTTGGTCAGGGCACAAGTGACCTAGAACTCAGAGCTTGTGGCTGGTGTCTGAAGTGATGGCAGTCTTGTGGGGGACTGTACCATTAACCTGTGAAATTTGACCTAGTTCAAGGTAGTTAGGGTTGGAATTGCTTTTCAGTAGCAAACCAAAATGTGTGCCTGGAAGAAGCTTACATAAGTAAAATATATATTTCTTTCAATGTGGTAAATACAATAGAACATACTGGTCATTTAATGGAGGCATCTGAAACATAGTTTCCATATGCAATTGTGAACTCAGTATTGCCAGTACTTCGAATTGTTAAGGAAAGGAGCAAATGTTTACTTTTATGTGAAATCTCATATCTTTTAAATTACATGTTGTCATATAATTAAAAATGTGTGTTGGGCCAAAGAAATCAAAACTGGCTCAATATAGTGCTTCTACAGATATTGTATATCCTCAGTCTTAACAATTTACAGACTCTGAAGTTTAAGGTAGGGAGGGAAGGAGGCAAGAAATGAAGGAGTAAAGAAAGGGAGGACAATATATGTATGTATATGTATGACTGAAACATTATGCTGTACACCAGAAATTGATGCAACATTGTAAACTGACTACACTTCAGTAAAGAAAGGGAGGGCAAGTGTGCTCACTTGGAAAGAAAATGTCTAGCCCTTGAAAATCTGGTAAGTTATATTTCAAAAATATACCCTGCAAATTCTAGTTTTAGCTTCAACATATAAATAACCTGGAAGTAATAATACCTGTCATTACAACAAGAAATGCTGAATAAACTGAAAATCAACTACTTTTTCTGGATGCGTCTGAGTTGTTGAGGAAGACTGTTACCTGGAAGTCTTGAGAGACAGGTGAATACCCGCAGTCACAGGCAAGATCTGCCTTCCAGGTTTAGAAGCTGTTAGAGCCATAAACTTATAGGAATAGTTAAATAATAATCTTGACAAATTACTGGGCATTGAGTGTGGATCAGCTTAAGACTAAGAAATTCCTGGGGCCACATCTTACAGGGGACCCATACTTGCATGTAGTTTACTTCTAGGAACCTCACCAGGTTCACACAAAGAAGTTCTAACTCTAGCAGGTGGAGATGAAAAGTAATCATTGTGAAGTATACCCAGAATATTGTCCATAAAAGCCTACTCTCCAAGGACAAAGAATTACCAGAGGTATATCTCTGCTTTAAGAGCAGAACTTGAAGCTTTATCTCCATCCCACTCTAGCTTCCTCTATCCTTTGTGTCTCATCTAAGGGGATAAAGGGCTGTATTACTGGAGCAACACCGGTGAAGCTCACAGACCTAGGACGTAGGACCACCAAAAGACAGATTAAATCATAAGATTACAGACAGTTTATCCTCCCCCAATTCTTACCACAATGCCAACAGGGCTCTAGTGTAATAAAAATTGATACAACAGAAGAGTGGTGAGACTTAGCCTCTATTTAGGGAGGAGACAAAGACAAGGCCACTAAAGGAATTTGAAGTCTCTATAATCTGCAACTACAGAAATAGTAGACACAGCCCAATTCCTAACAAGAGTAACATAAAACCTATTACCCAATGTGATCTGTCTATCTTTCAATGAAATTTACAAAGCATGCCAAAAGGCAAGAGGAAATAGTCTGAAGAGAAAAAGAAAACATCAGAACCAGACTCATATATGATACTTATGTTGGAATTAACAGATAGGGAAATTAAAATAACTATGACAAATATGTTAAGAGATCTCATGCAAAAAAGTAGACAACATGCAAGAACAGATGGTTAATGTAAGCAAAGAGATGTAAGTTCTAAGAAAGAATAAAAAGGAAATGCTAAATTGAAAAAACTGTAATGGAAATAAAGAATTATTTCGATAGACTTATCAGTAGACTGACTATGCTCCAGGAAAGAATCTATGAACTTGAAGATAGGCCAATAGAAACTTCCTGAACTGAAATGCAAAAAAAACAAACAAACAAACAAACAAAAAAACTTATGGAGGAAACTGAAAAGAACACCTAAGAACTATGAGGCAATTTCAAAAGGTGCATCATACACATAATTGTAGTACCAATAAGAGAGGAAAGAATTTGGAAGAAATATGTGAAGTTAAAACGGCTGGTAGTTTTCCAGATTAATGACAGGCACCAAACCAGACATGCATGAGTGTCAGAGAACACCAAACAGGTTAAATAGTTAACAAAGTAACAGAAGTGATAACTAGACATAGTATATTCAAACTGCAGAAAGCCAAAGACAGAAAGAAAATCTTGAAAGAAACCAGAGAGGGAAAACAGTATACCCATAGAGGAACAAAGATAAGAATTAGGTCAGACATCTCAATAGAATACAATCAAGAAGAGAGTAAAGTGAAATAGTTAAATAGCTAAAAAAAAAAAACAACCTAGAATTCTATATTCAGTGAAATTATACTTCAAAGTGAAGTAGAAGTAAAGACTTCCTCAGACAAACAAAAACAGATAATTAACCTGAGAACTGCCTGAAAAATTATCAAGATACATTATTTTGGGAGAAAGAAAATGATACAGGTCAGAAACTAGGGTTTACATAAAGAGTGTAGGAGAAGGAATAAGTGAAGGTAAAATCAAATCTTTTACTCTTCTTATTCTTTAATGATGAAAATATAACTATTTAAAGTAACAGTATTAACAATGTACTCATGTATTCAGTAACCATAATATCCAGATAAGTGAAATTAGTACTAGCAGTACCCTAAGGGACAAGAGGGAAGAATTAGAGATGCTCTATTATAAATGCAGCTTACATGTAAAATGGTATAATGTTACTTGCACATTGACTTAGATTAATTAGAAATATATATTGAAAACTGTAGGGCAACCACAAAAATTTTGAAAAATATGACTGATATGCTCAAAAAGGAGCTAACCGGGATGTGAAATTCTCAACTAAAACCAGAAGAAGCAATGAAAGAGGTGGGGGAGAAAGAACAAATTTAACAGGAAACAATTATAAACATGACAGATAATTATCCAACAATATAAATAATCACAAAATTTGAAAGGTCTAAATGTACTAATTAAAAGAGATTGTCAGAGTGGATTAAAAAAGAGTCAACTCTATGTTGTCTACAATAAAGCCATTTTAAATATAAGGTATCAGATAGATTAAAAGTAAAGTTCTATAAAAGTATGTGATGCTAACATTTATCAAAAAAGCTGGAGTAGGTATGTTAATTTCAGACAAAGCAGACTTGGGGAAGAAGAAAAACAATTCAGACATAAAGAAGAACAGTATATAATGATAAAGGAATGAATTCTCCAAGAAGAGCTAACAACTGTAAGGTGTAAAAATCAAAACAGAGAGTCAAAATATCTATGACAGAACTGCAAAGAGAAGTGGGCAACTCCACTATTATGGTTAGATACTTCAGCACCATTCTTACAGTAATTGACAGTTCAATGAGGGGGAAAATTGGTGAAGATACACTTAACCTGAAAAATATATTCTCTGTATGTAATTACTTGTATATGTATTTCCACCATCATTTGTTCTCTATCTATATGAATATTTCATAAAAGTTTAAGTAACTGGAGTGAAAGACATTTTAACCAGGCAAAAGACGTATTTTATTCTGGCTTTGATTATAAAAACATACATAATGTTTTTAAAGGTGTAAAGAAGCTGTTGTAATGATATTGATGAAGATTATATATCAAAAACAAAGATTATTATCAAAAAATCTAGAGATAATCCCTACTAGATATTCTCAGTGACACAATCGATTTTATAGACATATACTTAATGCTATTAAAGCACTTATTATTTAATTTTGTATAAAAACTTTATTTATTTTTCATTGAAGTATAGTTGATTTACAATGCTGTGTTACTTTCTGGTGTACAGCATAGTGATTTAGTCATATACATAATCACATTCTTTTTCATTATAAATTATTACAAGATACTGAATACAGTTCCCTGTGCTATATAGTAGGTCCTTGTTGTTTATTTTATATGTAGTATTTTATATCTGCTAATTCCAAACTTCTAATTTATCCCTTCCCCTTCCCCCTTTGGTAACCGTAAGTTTGTTTTCTGTCTGTAAATCTGTTTTTGTTTTGTGAATAAGTTCATCTGTTCCATTTTTTAGATTCCATATATGTGATAGCATGTAATATTTGTCTTTGTCTGACTTACTTCACTTAGTATGGTAATCTCCAGGTCCATCCATGTTGCTGCAAATGGCATTATTTTATTTTTTATGGCTGAGCAGTATTCCATTATATATCTATATATCTATATCTCACAACTTCTTTATCCAGTCATCTGTCATTGGACATTTAAGTTGCTTTCATGTCTTGGCTATTGTAAATAGTGTTGCTATGAACATTGGGCATGTATTTTTTGAGTTGAAGTGTTCTTTGGTTATATG